TTTGGCATCAGTATCGATCACTAATCACCCCCTGATAGTTATTTTGATAATATATTTCATGTACAGAATTGACCTCTCTACAGATTTATTATAAGTATAGAAGATAAGGAATTATGAACAAGACGTCCTCTCCTCTTGCAATTGCGATACCCTACACTACAGGGTCCATAATGCACTTTTTATTTATATATCCACCTTTGTATCTCCATTATGGTCTGCAATAAATGAATTGAATTGAAAAATATAATAACTCACATTGAGTTCATATTTCTTTCTTGTAATACTAAATGTAGGCAAGGCACTTTAATTGCTTATTCATCACACTCCAATTTCTCGAGATAACTGTGTCTACAGACAGACCAACGAGGAAAACAATTTTACAATTAATGATTCAGGCTCGAACGAATCGGGGTGACTCAATTTCCATCACAGTGTTTGCTGAATCAGATTAGATGGAGGTCGAATTGATTCTATGTACTTATTATCAAATTCTAAATAAAGGTAACAACATTGGAAAATATTCCTGTGCTTTTTCTGGTTAAACAATAATAATAATAATAAATAAATATATATTTCCAACACTCACATCAATTTAGCCTAGCCCCAAAGTAAGCTCTGTAAGGCTTGTGTTATGGGATACTAGGGTAACGGATAGAATACATATACTGTACATATATAGGTATATTTATATAGAAATACATATTAAACATCCATGACTGGAGTACAAATATGCTCGTATTCATCACACAAACATCTGAAACCCGGCGTACAAACCACTCGGCCACGGAGGTCGTCAAACAAAACAATATTATTAATAGAGAGTACTCCTATTACAATCCTAATTTGACGACCTCCGTGGCCGAGTGGTTTGTACGCCGGGTTTCATGGTGTCGCCGACTCTAGAAGTCCCGGGTTTAAATCCCGGTGGAGGCAAATGTGTGTGAGTGATGAATACGAGCATTTGTACTCCAGTAATGGATGTTAAAAATTAATTTATATATAAATATACTTATATATGCACAGTATATGTATTCCATCCTTTACCCTAGTATCCCATAACACAAGCCTTACAGTGCTTACTTTGCGTGCTTTGGGGCTAGGCTAATTACTGGAGTATTGAAAATATAGATTTATTTATTCAGTGCGAGCGAGAGAAATATTTATTTAATTATGTTCTTTAGAGGGCCTAATTAAGTACATATTTAGTTTTTGTTGTAGACATTTTTTTTATATAATTGACGATTTTAAATAAACAGTTAAAAAAATCTTCTTAAATCTTACAATCGCAATCCAAATCATCACAAAGATTTAATATTTTTTTTCTGAATTCGGTTTTATTTCTTCTGATAAATTGAAGCAATATTAAAAAAGCTGTTTGTATCATTTTTACATAATGAATAAACATGTAAAGCATTTCCCAGAAATTAAAAAGTTATAATAATATAATATTAAATATTATATCCAAACTCAATTCCAATCCATTGTCACAAAAAAGTCGACTTCCATACGGATGGTTCCGTAGCATAGCACAAAATATGTACATAGCTTGTTGAGGTCTGGTCAAAAACGCCGTTAAATGTACTTTTTTTGTATGGGAGCCTGCCCCGTTGTCAGTAGTCTGTCACACTTAGTAGTACGAAACCCTAAAAATAAGTTCGAAATAGCGAACAGATGAATTTGATTGATGAGTCTTCAAGGTTTTTTCTAAACTGGGCTATCGAGGCATAAGGCAGATATGCAGATCAGTGTTGCCAACTTAATGTTTTTCTTGTAAATAGTGGAATGAGATTATCAGAGGCTTAATTTATCTTTTAAACTTTTGATTATAAAGTCTTTTCCCCACTAAAATGATATTTCACGTGGGTAGAAAAGCTGGCATATCAGCTGTTTTAGTTAACAATAAAACCAAAAAGAGATTTCAGGGAGTCATTCCTTTAATTTTAGGGGTAAATATTTTCGAGAGTTGTAACACTGATGCAGAATCGAGATTATTATTTCACGCACGATAACAGGTATTGACGCCTTTGTTTTCACAGGCAAGGCCTAACAAACGTTAAATGGCTGAATAAATAATAATTTTATGAGCTTGTCGTGTTTGCATTGAAATTATGCGATGCTTGTTGTCAGCATACGTCATAATGCTTGATATGAATGCGTGAAGAACAGAGGTACTTACGTAGGTACTTAATTTTTCTATAACACCTGTTACAAAAAGAAATGACATACATTCACGACTTATTTAACTTTAGTGACGCGGAAAATCATCAGAAGTGCAACAGTAGCCGAGCTTTTCTAGGTTATTTATAAGTAGTATCTCAGATTATAGAACAATTGCTCTGTAATCTGAAAGTAACATAATCTGCATCAACTCCTACAAAGGCGTTATTTTTTTACATACCTACCTACTTTTACAATGTTTTTTGAATTCTGGGGGATAAAAATTGGGATGGAAGTTACGATAGAAAAGAAAAATCGTAATTTTTGAACTTTGAATTGTTTCTAAGTTCAAAAGTAGTTCAAAGGTAGGTTCAAAATATAAAAATACCTACCTACTGTTTCAATATTTTTTTTATTTTTTAGGGGCAATCAAAATTGGCGACCTATTTGATCGCCCTCAACAGTATACGAATATGCTTTTACGTCCTGTGCTTTAACTGTCATTGATGGAAAATTTAGCGCTTCAAAGACCTAAATTACTCTATGTATTATTTAAGTCTTTTAGATTCGTTCAAAGTTCGATATGGGATTGCGTCACAACATGTTGATTAATTTAGAAAACACATCTATATTTGACTTGTTAGTACCAACTCACTATAGTTGTTATTCGACTTAAATGAAATGAAATCATCTTTATTGCGAATACAGGTTACAAACTTGTTATCAAGATACATTTTAGTACAGTACCTACAGCCATATTCCGCCTTATCGGCATGCAATATAATATACCTAAAAATCATTAATTGTTTCAATGTAAAATTAATATATTTTACATAGTTTATTCAAAATGTCAATAAACGATAAATTTAAGATTGTATAATGCGATTCAACTAAGAATAGGACCGACTGGGCGCCATATTGTGACGTCATGCTGTCAATTCAAACGAAATAGGTAGTGTGAGAAAAAAAAGGTTTTATTTAATAAAACTTATTTACTAAGATTAAGTAAGAAATAACACCAGATTTTTTTAATAAAATTTTTTTACTGAGATTGAGGACTGTGTGAGAAAAAACATTAATCAGATCAGCTCTTTAATTCCGCTCATCTCTGCACTACCGCCGGAGTATTTATGGATAATCATGCACTATTACTAGGTCACATACGAACATGCATCCTTTATGTAAACGAAAGTTTCAAATCGAGTTTCCGAACGAAACTTAAAATGACATTTTGTTGACGATTTAGGTTATCAAATTCATAGCCAAAGCTCAATAAATGAAAAAAAAAAAACAACAAATATTAATCATTAATTTTTATTCTAGAATTAGCTGAGCGTTAAAAAAGATTTCAAGATTTTTTTGCAAAACGTACTTTTCAAGCGCCATTTGACAGATGGAGGTCATTGGCTTTCCTATTCTTATTTGAATCGCATTTATATTTATTTATGCACGTATTTTTTTCTATACTTAAAAAGATATAAAAACATGGAATTCCCTTATCTTAAAACTTTTGTCAACGTGCTGTATGCTTTATACGTTCCCTCAGGTGCTCGTGGTCTAGAGGCTCCAGACGGAGAGGAGACTCCCCCCGTAGGGAGATGCCATCCGCCTGGAATACCTCTGGAGGCACTCGCCAATTCTCGGCTTGAGGTCCCCTTAGGATCTCGCCTATGGATGGAATAGGGAGATAGGGCCATGACCCACCACGCGGGCCTAGTGCGGATTGGTGGGTACTGACGACTGCCGATGCAGCCGGGACTAACGGCTTAACGTGCCTTCCGAAGCACGGAGGAGCTCGAGATAGTAAATTTTTGGTCACCCATCCAATGGCCGACCACTGCGAAAGTTGCTTAACTTCAACGATCGCAGCCGAACGCGCTAAAAACTTGCGCCATCGAGCTCTTCCCATTGAGATTGCCTATGGTGAATTCTGCGCTCGAATCGAAGCGCTCATTTGAGGAAGTAACCGCCTTAGAGAAGACCACCAGACCAGTTTAATAACACTGTCTTGATATTCCGTGGGGTAGGGGATTTGGTTTAGGCCAGGAGGATGGTCGAAGCGGCACATCTTCTGCCGCATCATGTATCTTTGCGTCCGGACTCCACTTACACTTAAAATCAGGTGGGGTGGGATATGTTGCGGCTTGTATAAAAAAAACTTCTTATTCAGTCTTGTTTTTTAGGGGATTCCTGCAGTCAGTGGCGGCGCTAGGCGTCGGCGACGTCGGCCACCGCCGACGGCCTCGCGCCTGAGGGGGCCTCGCAAATTTTTTTTACAAGTTACTTATTTATTTTCGTTTCAGCTGGCCTGGCTTAGGTAGCCGACCCCGAACAATTCGAGGGAAAAGCTAAGCAGATGATAATGACTTTTATTATTTTCGAACACGTGCGTGATGGAAGCGAGTAGTACTTTACATTCAGAATCGTCTGTCTGGCAACACTATTTTTGTAATAAAATTTCTATGTTTGTAATTATTTTTTGTCATCATTTGATTATCAACAATAAAACTCGTTTACTCATACGTTATTTTATAGTTTGGCTCACTTAATTTAACGGTTTTATACTGCGAAGTAAAATAGGCCTCACGAACTTGATGTCGCCGACGTCCACATGTGATCTAGCGCCGCCACTGCCTGCAGTGGTCGGTTATTTTATTAGTTGGAGCTCCTCGGGGTCAGGATAAGGTCAGGGAAGGCACCATTTAGGTAACCAAATCGTACTTATGCTATGATGATTGATTATTATTATGCCTGTCTATATCTAAAGAAAAGAAAAACAAAATTCGCACTTTTTGCGACGCAAACGGTAACGATCAAAGTTTGTTATTGAAAACGTAACTCACTCGCAAGAAGTACAGACGAGGATGGTATGGCGACGTTATGGGGAAAACCACAGCTGTATTTATATAAATTATTTATCACTGTTAACACACACACACATGAGTGGAAACTGTACACGTCTGAGCACGGAAAACGCGATCTTATAACTAAAGTAACCTATAAACGTGTTCGCGTGAAAACGAATTCGCCTGCGCCTGATTCTGGGGGCTCTATTATGTGTGTGCGTTCATCGATGAAGTTCGAACGATGATAAACGCGTTTGCAATGCGCAGGGGGCCAATCGCCTAACGGAAATGCTTTGGCAAACGCTAACGCTTACGATTTTATATTGTTATTTCTAGCCGCCTGAGGTTTTCGAATACCTCACGCTCATTTTTTTTAATATTGTTATTACCAATGCAAAAGAAAAAGAAAGAGCGAGAGGCATTTGAATACCTCAGGCGGCTAGAAATAAGAAAATAAAATCGTAAGCGTTAGCGTTTTCCAAAGCATTTCCGTTAGGCGATTGGCCCCCTGGTCGAACAACATCCGCGGAAGCCGGATGTTTGACCATATGTTTAAGACAGAAACGCGGGTGGTCTCTTTGCTTGAATCCAGACATATTAGAAGAATTCACATGGGTCGGATAAGAGTTTAAAATCATTCCGAAAGGGCAATATATCCATTGTCGTAAGAGCATTACCAAAATCAAATGGAAACTTTATGTACTGTTTTTACTCAGATTTAGGGTACGGCCAGAGTGCACTCAGATTCAGATTCAGACTCAGAAAACAAGCGCGAGAAATAAACAGTGTAGTTAAAGCAGGGTGGCCATGGTGGCAGCAGGCAACCTGCTTAGACTACACTGTTTATTTCTCGCGCTTGTTTTCTGAGTCTGAATCTGAATCTGAGTGCACTCTGGCCGTACCCTTACGCATGACGAAGCCGTATCCAACTTCTAAAGAGTTATGGAGTCCGTTTGCAAAGATAGCTGATGTGGCAGAGAAAAGTGCAACTTCTTCCACGCTCACCTTGTAAGCCCTAATCCAATTCTCCTACCCAGTAACGCTAATGCAATTCACTGTAAGAACACAACACTTCAAAATATTACTTTGACTGCAGTCTTCTGTAAGATAAATAAGAAGGAGATGTTACTTTCCCCATACGTTCCCTAAATGAGCGTTTTAAGGCGCACAATAAAACCCCTTCCACACGACACCATTTGATTGCCAATCTGATTGCCGATTGAATTGGGTACAATCTGGTCGTCCGTCTACACATACACAACAAGTTCGCCAATTTCAGTTTTATTTGTTGCCTCTGCTGAACGGACTTGTTTGTATTAGGATGCCTCTTACCAAGAAGCAAAAAATTGGAATAATCTTGGCTCTAACTACAAATGTAGATGAGAAAAAAAGAAAAAGAAGACTGTGGACAAAGCAATGGTTATTAAAAAGAAAGCAATTGAGTCACTTGAATATAGTTATATTATATTTAAGTGACTCAATTAATAAACTTAAATATAGTTATACTTAAAGAGTAATATTTTTATCAATATTTTTCCACTTATTCAGCAAATCTCTAAGGAATTATGCTTTGCTTGTTTATTTTTATATAATGGGTTATATAAAGGTAAAGACACATCCCAAAGGCATGGCAAGTCTTTATGTATATCTAAAATCTTCTCCATTACTTCCCGTTCAGATCGAATAAACATAAAATTGTCGTCATGTTGCTCCATCTTTCCTCTCAAAAGACAAGTCAACGCACACACCCGCTCTGAACGCCGCTTGCAGTTGCGTTAAAAATTGGCCAGTTAGCGTCCACACCACCCAATTTGATTGGGCAATCCCGAATCGGGCGATACCGACCATCCAATGACCTTAAATTTCATATTTCCGTCCACACAACACAATTCGATTGTCAATCTAATCAAATTGGACGTAAAATTGTATCGGGTGGAAGCCACTTAAGACAATCCGTTATTCCCTACCTGTCTTAGATGTTTAGAATATACCCCCATGTTCGAGCATCCCGAAGGTCGGGCTTGTTTAGCATCGGTGTTCGTAAGAAGATTTCTCTGTACTGTATGTATGAGGTTGCGTTTAATTTTAACGTGTGTTTTGTTTTATGCTTGCGCACAGGTGGGTTGGGCGGTCGTAAACACCCAGACACCCACCAAAGTGTTAGGTGAACGTTATAAGAAATTGTTATTTGTTTTGTTGTATTTTGTATGAGCAATACTATTTCATCATCATCATCATCATCATCAGCCTATTAATGTCCCCACTGCTGGGGCACAAGCCTTCCCTATGGATGGAATAGGGAGATTGGGCCATGACCCACCACGCGGGCCCAGTGCGGATTGGTGGGTGCTAACGACTGCAGATGCAGCCGGGCCCAACGGCTTAACGTGCCTTCCGAAGCACGGAGGAGCTCGAGATAGTAAATTTTTGGTCACCCATCCAATGACCGACCACTGCGAAAGTTGCTTAACTTCAACGATCGCAGCCGAACGCGCTAACCACCTGCGCCATCGAGCTCCTCTATACTATTTACACAACTTAGATTTTGACAGATTTCGCTGACGAAGTGATTTTTATAAGAGACTAGCTGACCCAGCGAACTTCGTACCGCCCTAAAAAAATAGGGGTTGTCCAGCGGACAAAATCTAAACCATTCTCAGATCCCCTTGAACACACACAAAAAATTTCATCAAAATCGGTCCAGTCGTTTAAGAGAAGTTCAGTGACATACACACTCACAGAAGAATTATATATATAAAGATTTAAAATCGCAAGTTTGGCTCTCTTCTGGTGACTCAGATAACACAGTCTAAGTAACGCGAAGCTAACACAGGTAATGCGGAAGATAGTACGATACCGTCTTTTCTTTGTTTTTCTTATTTTCGCTGATGGCTAACGTATTTTTAAAAGTCCTTAAGCTTTTTTACGCTAGCCGGAAGTGTAACAGCCAAGATTTCCTGATTTTCGATTGTGTGAGCTTTAAGATGTAAGAAACATACACGTCAACATGAATAAGTAATTATTCCCTGTAACCATTCCATCTGATGCGCAGGTTAGGAAGCTTTCTCTCTTTGCTACTGCGACAGGAAAAAATATATTGCTCTGTCATCCTCACATTGCCGGTTTGAACTAAAGATAAAAAAAAAATAGTTCTTTTTCTCTCGTGAACAAAAACATGAAATGGAACGTGATTTTTCCAAGCATGTTTTTTTTCACCAGTACCCTTAGTACGAGTTTTACAATTACGAAAATTATGATAGTTTTCGTGAGCTCGCACTCGTTGATTTTATTATTTTCGTTTCAATACAAATAAACAGTGTTTAAATTCTATCATTAAATCATTTGTGTCTTCTTAAATTTTAAGTATATTTGGACACTTTTAACCAAAATGGACATGGAAACATCATTTACAAATACGAAAACTTCGTGAGATCAAACCCGTACTAAGGGTACTGTAATGATTCAAAGTTATTAAGAAAGTTTCCGTTTAAGATTAATGCTTATGAGTTTATGCATATTTACATATTAAGGTTTTCTTTTTATTTAAAACCAATCACACTTTTTTGATTGAAAATTAACAATCAAACTTTTAACAAATGGCAACACTTACGTACTTTTGTTTGTTTGAAGTAGTATGTATGAATGTTAACAGAGCGCATTTGAAGAATTTTAGTTTTTTATAGCGTTATGTCTGATCAGACATAAAATAACATAATAAAACATTTCTTTTTTTAAAGAAAAATAAAGTATCTCTAAAAAAATTGGAGACAACAAAGATCCTAAATTAATTTGTTTTTTTTTTCAAAATTATAGAAAAAAAAGATTTTTTTACTTTTACATCAAAAGTCGTTAACACCCGCCAATCCACACTGTGCCCGCGTGGTGGTTCATGGCCCAATCTCCCTATTCCATCCATAGGGGAGGCCTGTGCCCCAGCAGTGGGAACATTAATAGGCTGATGATAATGATAAATTAATATTTTTGTATGGGGGTGTAGTACGTTTACTGTTCATAGCTGTTCTGTTGATTTTTTGACACGATTTTTTCGTATAGATTTTCTCAGAACAGAATTAGAACCAGTAGGAGGTAACTAAATTCACAGCTTATAGTTAGATAAATAGGATGAGATGAAACATTATATACAATAACTTTCACTAAATTCAAAATTTAATGTTTGGTACCTAAATGACGGAACTATCGCTGGCGATATTTCGACAGTTTTTTGAGATTTTCACGTTAATTGACAAAATCAAATTCCCTGGCCTAGATCTAAATTATTCAAAATGCGAGCTATTCGTTCGTGAATCATAATTTTCACCTGTTCAGCTATAAAAGATTTTTACCAAATTTCCGGTTTTAACTCCTGGTATTAAAATTGTTGACAATAAATCACTCCGTCTCCTAGGTACCCCCTCAAAGACCCCCTCAGAGAAACGGTAAGTTTTAAGATACCCAATTATATTTTTGTGTTTTTAAACATTTAATACCTACTTTTAAACTTTGGTAATTTTAATATTTGTATGTAAATAACCAAATTAATTATTCCCCATAAACAATCATAAATAGTAAACTCCTACCATCTTTACTAAAGACCAAATTAGCGCCATAAAGACCACAGACAAAAATAGCCGGATGTACGTCAGCTGCTTGTCTACAGGACAATGGTCGCCTTTATGGAGCTCGGACAGTCCTGCCCGGCTATACTTAGAAGCTTTGAAACAATGCGTCATGCTACCAAAATTGGATTAAATACTTTTAATGGTCATATAAAAGGAAGTTTTCAAATGGCTGTTTGTTTTCAGTCGCAAAGGATTATAGAAATAATATTTTATAGGTAGAACCAGTAGGAATTTTTTAGGTGACAACCTACCTATATGATACACTAGCTGTGCCCCGCGGTGTTACAGTAAAACGTAGCCTATGTGTTAATCCAACGCGTCAGCTAACTCAATACCAAATTTTATTACAATCGCTCCAGCCGATTAGGCGTGAAGAAGTTACAAACATACACACTTACAAACTTTCGCCTTTATAATATTAGTGTGATAAGTTGTTTTGAGAAAGTATCTACCAAAATTGGTAAATAAAATTTATACGTTTTCGGAGCAACCAACGATCGTAAAGAGATCAACTGTCCATCTCAACATTTTCGTTTCATTGTCCTTGATTGAATAGCAAATTTATTTTTTAATACATTAATAAATAATAAATAGGATGAAGACATTTTTTAAGGGTGTGTGTCAACAAAATGCAAAGCTGGCTTTGACGATAATG